CGGCCACCAGCCTCGTCCGCTCTGCCGAGTGGGAGCCTCTCCCTGCAGGGCTGGGTCTGGGGTTGCATTTGGCTGTCTGGTGGGCTCTGCAAAGCCCCATGTTTGGGCACCGCTGGGATTCATACCTGCCGCCAAAGGCAGGAAGAGCCTCAGCTTGCTCAGCCCAGAGGGGTTGGCAGTAACAGTCCTTTGTTGCCTGGTTCTGCCGCTACGCCAGCGAGCTGCAGCCCCGTTGCCGGCCTCCGCCTCGCACCTGAGCCCCAGGGCGATGCATGAACCAGGGAAGCCTGCTGGCTGGCAGCCTGACTTGCACAGAATCATAGACCCAAAGAACTGGAAGGCACCAGGGACAAAAGGTCATCAAGGCCAGGGGCCTCCCGGCAGGACCATCCCCGACAGGCGTCTGTCCAACCGGCTCTGAACAATCTCCAGTGCTGGGAATTCCACACCCTCCCTGGGCAATTTACTCCAGTGTTTAACCACCCGGACAGGCAGGAAGTTTTTCCTAATGTCCAACCTCAACCTCCCTTGCTGCAAGATAAGCCCGTTGCCTCGTGTCCTGTCCTCGGGAGTTAAGGGAATCATTTTTCTTCCTCCTCCTTGTAAGAACCTTTTATGGACTTGAAAAGAGGGATGTAAAACCCCGTTTACTTAAGTTTAACTAGAGAGGTCAGTGGGGGGAGCTGTTCCCGCCTGCTGGGCTGGGGCGCCCCTCCCAACACAGCAGGGCTGGAGTGGCCCCCGCACCATGGGCAGAGGCTGCTCCAGCCGTGGAATTAGCCTTCCCCACAACCCCCCCCCTGCCACTTCCGCCCCCCTCCCCACCCCATGTGAGGCTATGAACTCCCAGCCCACGAGCCCGCACGGGTAACTGCTCCCGGGTAACAATTAACCATTCCCTAGTAAGCATCTCCTATTAGGGGTGGTGCTTACTGGTTAACCAGTTACCTAGTCACACCTCTACTTGGAAAGCTGCTCAGCCTTCCCCACAACCCCCCCCCTGCCACTTCCGCCCCCCTCCCCACCCCATGTGAGGCTATGAACTCCCAGCCCACGAGCCCGCACGGGTAACTGCTCCCGGGTAACAATTAACCATTCCCTAGTAAGCATCTCCTATTAGGGGTGGTGCTTACTGGTTAACCAGTTACCTAGTCACACCTCTACTTGGAAAGCTGCTCTTGCCTCCCCTCGCAGTCTTCTCTTCTCCAGACTAAACAAACCCAGGTATTCCAATGCTCTCTCATCGGCCTTGTTTTCTAGACCTTCCATCATTTTTGCTGCTCTTCTCCGGCTCCAGTTTCTCCACCTCCTTCCAGACAGGGGCGCAGGGCTCGATCCGGGTGGTGTGCTCCGAGGCCGTTGGACTCCACCAAACCGCCGGGCAGGGATGGCCTGCCGCTCCGTTTCATTTCCTTGGGAAGGGTTGGCCTGTGCTACTGGCCGTTGGGAAGCAGTCTTTGGTCTGGAGGGGAGGGGCACTTTGCACCTACTAGGCATTCCCCTGAGCCGTAGGAGACCCCCAGTCCTGGCCCCCTGCCATGTTCCTGGCATGCAAAGCTATCTTCAGCCCCGTGTGTGGCTGCAGCCAAAGGAAGGAAGGGAGCGTTCCCTAGTGGTGATGCTGAAGGGGCTGGAAGAGTCAGAACTGTTGCTCTAGGCTTGGCCTTTGTGAACTGCTCCCCTGCTCCATTTCTTTGTCCTTCTCTCATCATCCTGGGGCTGCTCTTGGCTGAGTTTTAATAGAGAACAAGCCGGCCGCTTCTCTATGTGCGCAGCCCCCCGCTCCCTCCAGTAGGGCCTTGGCTTATGGAGCCTGTTAGCACTGCCACCTTGGACAGTAATGCGCAAGCAAACTCGTTTGTGCTCCCAGGGAGCCTGGGCCCTCCCACTAGGGTGAACTTTGTGGCCAGCGGTGTGGCGGGGAGAAAACGGGGACACCCGCACCCAGTCGGTCACACGCTGCTGCCTACCACCCTGCCGCGCCAAACCAGTGCCCGCAATGGTGTAACACGTAGCCAGCCCCCAGCTGCCTGTTTGTCAAGCCGCTGGAGCACCCGGCTGAGGGCCCCTGCCAAGCCCTTGATTCTGTGGAAGTTGGTTACGTGGGAGGACGAGCCCAGGAGGCAGAGCAAGGCTGGGCCCCTTTGATCACCGTGACGTGTGTGGGATCAGAGGGAGCAGCCACCAGAGGAGGAAAGAGGCGGCTTTTGATTTCGTGTCTGACCCCATCGCAAGGGGAGGGGCTGGGAAAAGGACGCACCAAGCAGCGCAGGCTGTGCGCACCCTCCCGAGCAGTGCCGTGTCAGACGTGCTGCTTTCTCCAGTTCTGTTCTTCCCCCTGCAGGCTGGGTGCCAGCTCCGAGACCA